TAACGTAAGAAGTCAGTTAATTTAGAATAATTTGAGGAAATAAATTTAAATGAAGTGCAACAAAAAGTGTGTGTAATTTAATAGGCTTACAAAGAAATCATGTGGTGTCCACATCATATTTTTTATATCAAATTTATATTGATATATTAAATGCTGAAAATTTTATTGATTTTTCTTGACTAATTCAAAATATTCAGACCAGGCTTAGCTTTTTACGCAGTAATTGTGGTATTAAAAAATAATATAATAATTCAGATGTTTTTGCAAGTGCAAATGAATTACGCTTAAATAAGTGAAATTATGCCAATTTGCCAAAACACTTAAATAAGTCAATTTATGTCAGCTTGCGAAAGGATTTAACCCGTTCATTACGGGCGTATCATATGTTCATCAGCAGCGAACATTACCTCACGGCCGGGTGTGTCATATTTGAATCGGATATTTAATTCACTCTACTGGCCAGGCGTACCACATTTGACTTTTTAGATAGAACGTTTAATTAATATTTTTTGTTGCCGCTAGATGCGCCTGTTATGGGGAAATATATCGAAAGTTAAGTATGTTTACCTTCATTTCTATGCAATGATTTTTATATTTGTATTTTGTTTCGGAATGAGAGTGAGATTCATTTCGTTTCGGAATGGGTGGGTGTTGAGCAATGTAATCTCTTTAACTGCCTCATTTGATATAATATAAACAAATGCACGTGCTCTCACTGCATTGAGGTACTTTTTAATTTTATTTTTGCGATATAGTGGGATAGACGTTCTATCATTAGAGAGTTTTTTTAGTACTCTTACATTTTTCCTTTTTTTCATTACTTTTAGATTTTCGTGCTTTGAGATGAATACTTTTAATGGTCTGGTCTGGTCTGCACGGTTATTGCCGAAATATCATACGTATGCGCAATTTGTCCGGCTCAAGAAAATGACACATGACATTAATCTTCATGACAATTAGATAAGGTCAGAGGTGGTAACAGGGGGCGACCATGAGTCGCAAAGCCTTTGAGAGGCAAGAGCAACAAGAAGCGCACGATTCAGGAGCTGTGAGGATACTGCCCTGTATATTTGTGTTGTTGCATAAATTAAATTAAATTACAGAAACACATCAGACAAATAATTCAAAACATATTAAATGTAATACAATGGTAGCGAAACGCATCTATTTTAATGGCAAACGAAAGCAGTATCTAAACGTAGAATATACACAATCGCTAATTCGTTAGTGTTGAGTAATGTAATGGCTCTTACTGCTCATTTTATATAAACAAATGAACATGTTCTCGATGCTCTGGAATGCTTTTAATTTAATTTATTAATTTTTCTTATTTTTATTTTATTTATTTATTTATTTATTTATCGGTTATAGTGGAGTAGATGTTCTGTCATTAGAGACATTTTTACTACTCTTTGAGTTTTCCGGCATTGAGACGAATATTTTGTATCGCTTAGCAAAATTTTGTTTTTTTTTTTTTTTTTTTTTTTTTTTTTTTTTAATGGCAAAATGAAAGCACTATCTAACCGTAGAACATATACAAATGCTAAATGAGTTAAATTTGTTGAGTAAAATAGCAGCAGATATTATATTCCTGTGACTAGTGCAACTTGGACTTCACGTACACCCATCTTTAAAAGAATATCATACACTGTCTCATTTTGAATCATTGCTTACTTTTCGTTGTTTGCTCCTTGAATTTTTATGAAAGACACTTTTAATATTTTAAAATTTTTATTTTGTGTTGTGTTAAATAAAATCTGCGATTGTTTGGATATTTTTCCATATATATTTATTTGTGGGATAAGGGGAAAATTATACAGTACAAAGTCCGTAATCCGGGACTAATCCTTAAGGGACTTCGGTGATTCCCGATTAGGGGTTTTTCTGGATTATAGCTCATTAATTTAAATCTGGTAAGATGGCAGGCAGAAATTATACAATTACAAATATGAAACCATAATTTATGAAATAAAGAGCAGTTATGATCTAAAGAGCATTAAATTTTACAAAAAAAAAGCTTAATATTTATTTGTTTACTTTATTAAACATTTCTTCCAAAGCACGCATGCGCAATGTATGAGCATTCTCTACGCGCATACGTAAAGTTTGTGGCTTTGAGGTCCAGATTATAGATAATGGATGAATAATGGGTGTCCGGATTACAGACTTTGTACTGTATTATTCTAGAATGAGTATTTTATAAAATGTTTAAGGAAAATATAATAATAAAAGCTTAAAGTTAATTCTGACGACTACTTGAATGTTTTCATAATGTACCCAAAATTGGATGACAAATTTCGCTTATACGAATTTTTTTCCAAAGTTAGGCTTAGCAGCGTAAATTGCCCATCCAGGACGATGCATCCGGTTAACGCACTGTCCCAAGAAAATGCTTCGGTAACAGAGGTGCCCGTCGCAAACGGGTTAAAAGCTAACTAATGCATATAGTATAAATGCAAAAAAATTTTAAAATATTCTAAATGTTGTCGTTTTTGAATGTGTGAAATAGGATTCCATGGGTTGTAGATCACAATGAAATGTTGGAAAAGGAACCGTAAAAAAATAGGGATTGTCTGTATTTCTTTATTCCATTGTATTTTTTTGCTGTGTATCTTGAAATATTCTAAACTTTTTAAGCTTGTTCTAAAAGACCAATTTGATTTTATTCTATAGATTTTCACCTAACCTACAAATATAATGACTGGAAATAATTAAATCTGAAATATCTTCAAATTAATGAACTGATTTTTTGCTAGTGCTCTTTATTTTGTTAATGTTCCAAAAAGGCAATAGACTTTTTGTCTCTGTAAGTAATGGGAAACTTTCCATCTAGCAACCATTGGCTTATATGTTGCAGGTCGTACACAGAATTCAAATGCAAACCCTTCCTGACAGATAGCCACCAAAGCCATCTGACAGTTTATAGCTGTAATTTCTGATAAGCCGTCCAACTTGTCTTAACTGCATGTCAAAAGTATCAATAATTCAGATCTAGCCTCCTTTTGATTCATAGCTTAAGTTGCAAGTTTATTAGTCCTTTAATTTTCTTTTCATTATTACATCACTAGCTCTTGCATGTCATATCTCGAGCTTTCCAGAAATCTCCCTGGTGAAATGACTATAATTGAATACAGGTAATCATGCCATGTTTAGTGTAATGGAACTTGCATCGATTTCAGTGGCAGTAGCTAGTATGCAGATCTAGTAAGAGTTCATGGTTCCTTCGTTAGATCATGATGCATATAATTAATGTACAAATAATATTATTTACATTTTAGTAGGGTGATATCAGCATATGGTTAATGGCAATATAAACAATAACAAAAATACTGCACATTCTACAGGTTATATTTGTTTCTCTCATTTTTCAATTGTTTATGTTTTTATAGGTGCATATAAATATATATTCTGATTTACACTTTTTATAGCAAGATTGTGTTCAATATTGATTAACCCCTTGAGGACCAGTACACGGAGAACAAAGCGCAGCCATGGGACCAAATCCCCCAAAATGGAACGTTGCCACCGACCCACGCATTTCCAGCAGTTAAGCCTACTTTTACAATAAAATACATATAAAATCAGCATTTTTAATGTAATTACCTCAGTTTTTAAAGTTACATATTTAATATACTAATTCTTAATATGTATTAATATAAAGAATATCACATTAATAGAAATAAGTGAAACATGCAAAATACTAAAATTATAACTATAGGCATGAAAACAAATATTATACACATGAAAACAAAATGTAAAAGAAAATTAAGCAATAATTATCTGTAAGTAATTAAATTTCAATTTAATAATTCTGCTGTGTGTGGAATAATTCAAAATGAGGATCAACACATATGACAATGATGGTTTTTTTCACTAAGCAGGTAAGATGCATTACGCATTGGGAAAACAGATGCCTTCCCTCTTCTGTGTAATAATGCTGTAAAGTTACCTTTTAATTAACCAATAAAGTTATTTAATTTTATGTTAGGTTTTAAAATAAATGTAAAAAAGGACAACAGGTCTGAGTTTTTCCATCACGGAAGTTAGGCAACGTTGCACCCGCTTTAGTCAGCTAAATGTGTTTTCCCACATTTTCTTTTAACAAAAAAACAAAAAAAAAAGAAAGAAAAGAAAGAAAAGAAGAAAGAAAAGAAGAAGAAGCATAAGTGAAAACATTGAGCTGGATGCACTTCCCACATTCTAATAACAAAAGGTGCAAAGAATAAAAATAAAGACAGAAAAAAAAAAAAAAAAAACATAGCGAAATAAACAACCACACCAGTGTCCCTTTTTTCACTAAGCAGGTAAGATGCATTACGCATTGGGAAAACAGATGCCTTCCCTCTTCTGTGTAATAATGCTGTAAAGTTACCTTTTAATTAACCAATAAAGTTATTTAATTTTATGTTAGGTTTTAAAATAAATGTAAAAAAGGACAACAGGTCTGAGTTTTTTTCCATCACGGAAGTTAGGCAACGTTGCACCCCGCTTTAGTCAGCTAAATGTTTTTTTCCCACATTTTCTTTTAAAAACAAAAAAAACAAAAAAAAGAAAGAAAAGAAAAAGAAGAAAGAAGAAGAAGAAGCATAAGTGAAAACATTGAGCTGGATGCACTTCCCACATTCTAATAACAAAAGGTGCAAAGAATAAAAATAAAGACAGAAAAAAAAAAAAAAAAACATAGCGAAATAAACAACCACACCAGTGTCCCTTTAGCTTAAAGAGCTGTGATTTTTCAGTTTGTTTACACCAATAAATCTATCAAAACCAGAACAGAACAGAAACTAATGCTGATACATGAAGGTCAAAAGCCACATATCTTAACCAAAGTGAAAACCGTTACCATTTAGCACCATCTACTGGCATTTAAAAACTAAAATAATAATAATAAAAAAAAAAGTTCTGTTTTTCAAGTTATGCATATGCGATGTTGGTCCTGAACGGGTTAAGGAAAAATTAGTTTCAGCTACTTTTTAGCTTTTTATCTGTGTAATTCATAGGCTCTCCAGCTGGAAATACTTGTACTGCGGCGGCAAGAGTGGAGCAAGCTTTGTCTGAAGTTGCATCTTCAATTAGTGGTTTTCAGCCAAAGCCAGGTCCTCAGTATGTCTGGTTATTACAGCTGCATATTTGGTTGCTAATAGTAGATTTGTATCTTCGACTTGGTCAACTGAAAGAAGCTGAAGCATCAATTAATGAAGCAAATGCATTGTTTCCTTTATCTCATCAGCTTATGGTTATGGTAAGTTTATAGTTATCTCCATAATTATAGAACTGAAAATGTTCTTGAAATCTCAGAATTTAGTAACATAGAAGATTAAATATTTGTGCTAAATTTCTGGGAATATTCATAATAAATGAGTAAATCTATAAAATTCTTTATCATAAAGATTAAGATTTTGTGCATATAATTTATGCCTCATTGTGAATCTAACATTTGTATTTTTTTTCATATGATGGGCTTTATGTGTGTATGTAATACAGAATATTTCACTTATTCCCAACCCATGATTTTTCCTTATAAAACTTCCAAACAAATGGATGCAGTATAGTGACGTATCCAGATGTATAAGTATTACAGTCTCGTATTAAGTGGTTACTGTTTGCACAAGGCATGCTTATATTGGGTCAGTCCAATTCATGCACATTTTTGGTAAATTTTTAAATAATATAAAGAAGCACAATTTAGCATTTTAATCGATTATATAAATTCCTCCATTATCTACAATGTCTCGCCATCTTAAAGGCAGCTTTTTTTATTTTATTGCTGTAGAAAGACTCTGGTTTTGATACAAAAAAACTTGAAAGTTCATTGTGTCATCCTGTTTAGAATTTAATTTTTTCCCCTGTAAAAAATTTTGTAAGGCACGAAATAATAATAAAGCTATTTTCTTAATATTGAAAATCACTTGGGTCAATATCTGGGGAGTAAGCAGGATGTGGCAAAAGCTCCCAATTAAATTCACTAATTTTTTTGCAGCATTGTTCGAGCCATATGCAGTCTTGCGTTATCATGATGAAACAACACTTTCTTGATATTCACCAATCATGGACGTTTTCTGATCAATTCTGAGTTTAGACGGCAAAGTTGTTCACTATAAACTTCTGAATTAATCATTTGATTTGGTTCTAACAGTTTAAAATGTCCTGAACGGGGTTCATCATCAATGCTGCTTTTTCCAACTTTAAATTTTTTAAACCATTTCTGGGCAGTCCTTACACTAATAGTGTGTTCACCATGTACACTATTAATTTTATCGCTGCAAACCTGGCAGATTCACCACACGAAAATAAAAAACTTAGCACAGTACGTTTGTACTGATTATCTATATTCATCTTCTATGGATACTAAAATGTGTTTGATATTTATGAAAATTGGTGATGAACTGAATAATATGTTAGTCAAATGATGACAAGTTTCAACAGGTTCAAAATTGTATTATTTTAGTAAATGCGTCATAGTGAATTCCACACATACTCTTAATGCGCACGAACTTATGGACTGACCCGATACATACATGCCTTTGCATGTTATGGAAGGTGTTCTCCCATATTTGCAGTCGCAATAGTTTCCCTTTCAGCATGCCTCGTAAGAAGAAATCTAGTGGAGGTAAGATTAGGCAACTATGGGTGCCAAAATATTAAGAAAATAGCTTTATTTTTTGTAGAAGGAAATAATTTCAGCCATGTTGATGTTAGAAGTATAGCACATGTTGCTGAAACTGGCCCATATGGGCCTCTTCATGATCAAACTGATTTGTAAACTTATGTAAAATTTTCATCTATGGTCATAATATCCATCATTGTGGCTAAGAAGATAAGACAATAACAAGGCGCTCCTACAGAGTAGACCGTACTGTAATTTTTGCATCATAAAGAGGTGTCTAATGCATTGTCTGAAGCTGCTTATTAAATGACATTCAAGTATTCTGAGAACTCACTTTTGCATACTTAGGTGGAATCATACTTTACAAAAGGATCACTTGAAACCTTTTCTGTTGATTGCAAGATTTCTTCTCTTGCAGAGCAGTAGCAGGATAAGCATTAAAAAAATTAGAATCAGCTTTAGCGAAGTCTTTCTGAAATCTCTGGACTGTTATTTTATGTGATATTTTATATTACAGTACACTGCAATTATTATTCACACAAATTGATAAGTTTTGCCATCATGAAAACATAATATTTTTAATTTAGTTTTCTTGGGGCTTGCCAAATAACTATTTTCCAAAGTATCATCTTTTAAGAGATCTCTAATTTATATTTCAAATTATAGTAATACTGTGTACAAATTGAGCATTTTAAAAATGATAAATTTTCTTCTTAATAATTTGAAATATATGTGCTTTATTTATAATTTATATAATTGATATGTATTATAAACATTACTGAAATTAATTTAGAAAAATATTTTTATATCTGTATATCACGTACCCGATAGTTTGTTCCCCTTGACAAGCCAATTAATCTACAGTCAATAACAATGGCTACCTTTTTAGTTCTTTAAATATTACTTTTTAATTTTATTTTTAGAATTTTTTTATAATTTTTCCACTTGAAAATATTTCTATATAGATTATTAAAATACTTTTGCTACAATAGAAATCTAAATAACTTATAATTAAAATATTGACCCAAATTTATTCCATTAATTCATCATATTAATTAAATTTATTTTCCTTGGAGATGATATGTAAAAAACTTTCCTGATAATAAATTATATGTATTTAAAATATACCTGTGTGTATATCTGTGTTGTATTATTTTCATAACTTTTTTATTTTTTAGAAAGGACGAATTCATGAGTGTAGACAAGAATACAATGAAGCAAAGCTATGTTTCCAGAATGCTGTTTCTGTCAATCCATTTCATGTTAAAGCTCTTCAACATTTGGTATGTTATAATTAAAATTTTTCTTAACTTTTAATCATAATTTTCCTCTTTACATTGCATTTGTAGTAAACTGAAAATATGTACTACTTATCTCTGAATTCTTATGTAAGAAAATTATAATTTAAAATAATTTTTTGCTGTAATCTCTTGTGGAGTGTTAATTCCTACTACATGTAATTAATTGCAATGTACTTGCATTTATATATGTGTTTTGTAAGCATTAATTATAGTTAAGTTATAATAAACTTTTTTATTATGCAATAAATATATTTTTTCTTTTGAAAGTCCTATCCAAAATATTTTGAAAGCAAGATATGTTGGAAGGGGGAACAGAAATTTTATTATCATATAGAAACATTAATATGCAAATCTAATAATAATTTACCTGTAGAAAGAGGAAATAAACTAGTAATTATACCTTGTAGAAACTCATGTGTTTACAGGTCAGTGTTAATATAATAATAATATTTCTATATAGATTATTAAAATTCCAATACCACCCAGTGATCTATTTATAGATCACATACTTTTAGAATGACCATTGAGAACAATGTCGTTTAATCACTTCTTTTTGTCATTGGCTGATGTCACACCTGTGGCCATACCCTCAAAGGCCTTTTGAAACATTATTTTCCAAAACAGTACAGCAGTTAGTTAGCAATTTGAAGTTAGCCAAGTGATGCTTCATAGCGCAGCTTTCTATTTTGTATCCAGCGGAAATTTTTTTTTAAATAAATTATACTTTTCTTACGTGTTCTACATTTTCAATACCTCTTTAATTGTTCTGTGTAATTTAGATTAGAAAAATAACTGTTCTTATAATTAAATTTTTAGCTTAAACATGCTGATCTATAAAAAGATCACTGGGCATTTGTGGTAACTAATACTGTGTTTTCCCCCTTTAATTTTTTCCAAAATTTCCAGGCATAAAGTGTTTCACACCGAAAAAACACTAAAATATATGTTTTCTAAGGTGACTGAGTGAGATATAATTGCTTTACCGCCCAATGTGGACGATTACCCGACGAAGAGAGCTTTGATGATGGTGAAATGATCACTCCATTGGTAAAAACATAAATAATTTTGGACTTAACATTACAGGGCAACTGCCATTTACATCTAGTGTCAGTAATGAAAATGAAAATAAAAAAGGGAGTTAGTTCAAAATTATCAAAAAAAAAAAAAAAAAATTGCAGCCAAAAGCAAATTAGACAAAACATAATCCTACTTATGCTTTTAATGAAAAGGGTAATTTGTCTGGCAAAAATCTTGAGGATATTTCAAATATTTCAGAAAATATGAACCCACTTGAAATTTGTGAAGAATTTTTATCTCTCAAAGTTTACGAATGTGTAATAAATGAAACATAAAGATATAAGAAAGTGTGGGAAAATAAGCCAGAGTTTTCCATTACAATTGATGAGTTGAAAAGTTTTATTTGTTGTTTGATTTTCTCTGGGTACCGTACTTTATGTAATGAATGTGATTTCTGGTCAGAGGAAGAAGAACTCATGGTACCGATAGTAAAAAATGCAATGCCTCTAAATAAATATTTAGAAATGAAATCTGTAATCCATTTTGCCAACAAGAATTATTCAGCAATGCAAAAATCAGACCGGGCATTCAAAATAAGAAAATTAATCACAGTTTTAAAAAATTTGGATTTTTCGATAAATTTCTGTCTGTTGATGAAATGATGATTTGATATGACGGTCATCATTTTTTCAAAGAATTTCTTAAAACAAACCTATACAGTTTTGCAACTTCAAATGAATCACTTGGAGTACGAGTGGTAAAAAAAAGTATAAAAGTTATCGGAAGTCATGTCGTGGCTGAATACCTCAAACTGGGAACAAATTCCAAGAAAAGCATTGGAAGGCATTTCCTGATAGCATTGAGACCAAAGTGATAAGCTCTGTAGGTTTAGATAGAAAAGACCATGTTAAAGGTAAAAGACAAAACCAAAAAGAACACCAATTTCAAAAATGTAAGGGAAGGCCTATTGCGTTTTGTACAAAATGCGATGTAACACTTTGTGTAATGTTTTCCACTATATCACACTTAAATAGTACAAATTTGCTCAGTAAAAATATAACTAAGAAAGTTTAGATCAGTAAAATAAGATTTTTTCCTTTTAAATCTTTTTAGTTTGTTTTAATTTTTAGAAAAAATTTATATTTTTTTAACTTAATTCGTAATTTTTTAAACATAAGATCAGAGGGCAGTTACTTGTTCTTTTATTACAAGAAGCGCCCAGCAGTCTGTTTATAGATCACCTATTATCTGAACTGCTAATTATGGTAATTGATTAAAACTTCATAATTACTTTATTTATGACTAGCAGCTTTGCTGCCAGCCTTCGTCTGGCTTTTAAATGCACCGGAAAAATGGCTGAAGGAAACACCAAACGTTAAATTTAAAAACTGCGTAGAATTTTATTCTGCAGAAAAACTTCATAAAAAAAGTTATTAACGTATAACAAAATTACAATGAAATAAGCAATATCCCTTAATGCAAATATTAATTATCCTAATAAATAAATTAACCAACTTCTCTTTGCAAAATCTTAAGAACTCAAATGGTATAAAGGAAGTTAAGAACTTTGCTTCCTAAAAAAAATCACTCAAAACTTTTCAATATCTTAAAGACAGTGAAATGAGCAATAAATAACATAAAAGAATACAAAAAACAAAAAATTCTGAAAAGCAAACTATAATTAATGATATTTTATCTTATATTTTCAAGAGGAAAAAAAATACAATGAAATAAGCTATATCCCTTAATACAAATATTAATTATCCTAATAAAAAAATTAACCAACTTTCCGTTGAAGAAAAAAAATAGGCAAAACTTTTCAATATCTTACAAACAGTGAAATAAGCAAAAAATAACATGAAAGCAACTCAGATAACATAATTCCGCACAGAATTTTACTCTACAGAACAACTTTATCAAAAAAAAAAATCAATAAAAATGTATTATATATATATATATAAATAAACGAGAATGAAATATACGAATCTTTTAAAAACAGTGACATAAGAAATACGATGAAAAATTGTTGCCAAACCCATATTTCTAAAAGAATGAAACTATTCAAAATGATGCGATTTCATCAAAAATCTATCAACAACAATAAGACAGGAAAATTGTTGCTAAAATCACATTTTTAAAGATGTGAGATGTGAGAAGTGTACTCGGAAGCTTCATTTAAAAAATCTTTTAAAAATACAAAATATTATCATTTTTCCAAAATTCTTCTTGTAAAAGCAGTCGCAAGAATGAAAGTTTGTGTCCAAAAATCAAAGAAAAATAAACTTTATATTTTTTAAAATAAACTTTTTAGAAAAAATCCTGCTGAAAAGGCGTTAAGCTTCCTTTATTAAATAAATTTGTATTTAATCAATTTATTGAAACACGAAATTTATTTTAAGTTCGTAAAATAGCTGAGTGCCTACGTTTCATGACGATGTGAAAATGTGTGCAGAGTAAAATCTCGCTTTCCTATAGCCCATTATGTCTCAAAATGACGCGATTTCGTCACAAAAGATAAAATTTAAAAAAATTCTAATTTGAATTTTGAAAAAAAAAAAAAAAAAGCTTCGAGGTGCACTGGCTCTTGTCTAGATGCACCTATGTACCAAATTTCATAGCCGTGGGTCTATTAGCCTAAGCGCAGCGCCAACAAAAGACACACACACAGACAGACTCTTTGTTTTATTATATGTAGACATATATGAAATGCAAGTTAAAAATATTTTTCAAAAATTCTCATTTTAAAATAATTTCAGCGTTAACAGGTTAATTGTGTACTTGGAAGAGAAATGTGCCAGTATGAAACAAGTACATACCAGGTGACTGGTATATGTATGTTTTTTAAGCGTTTAAGTAATTTTGAAATCCCTCTTCTTCTGCAAAATGTTTTGCTCCTTTGGCTTTCTGGTATGCCTAGTCTACCAGAATTTGTTTCATGCAGTCCTTTGGAAGGGGGTGTTATGGATTTGGTATTTAAATAGCTAATGTTAGTTGAATTATAAATTAAATTCTTTTATTCCCCGTGCAGTGTAGCGCATGATGAATATTAGAGGAAAGCTAAGCCGGAAAATGATGATTTATCCAGACAAGTCGACGCTTTGATACGGAGTAGCAGTGGGAACAAAATGGCTCTAAGGAGTTGGAGATGTGGTTCTGAAGGTCACCTACGATGGAATTGCAGAACATTCCGAGGTATGGAAAATAAAACAGATGATTGTACCAGACAAGTCAGTGGCTTGAGATGGAACAGAAGTGAAAAGAAACCAGCACTGTGGAGCAAAGGAACTGCAGAACACCCCGGAGCACAGAAATTGAGACCATTTCCCAGCAACAATGGAGGAAACAAATGAATGACCATATCGAGGAACAGAGGTTGCCAGAGAATGAAAAACCTTGTTTTAAAGCGCTCAAGATTTCTACAGTGAGTGGCAACAGTAACGGACTGTCCATCAATGGGCACATCGATGGAGTTCCTTGCAATATGATCATTGACACAGGAGCTAATGTTACTATCATTCGGAGAGATTTAGCTCAACAGTTTAAAGATAGACTTATTTGGATGCCATCCGTTGTTACCCTTCAGACTGCATCTGGTGATAAGATCGACATAGCTGGGAAGTTAAACGTGAACATCATGTTTGGAAGTGCCGCCTACCATCACATGGCATATGTGGCGGGTAGTACTGATCCATTTATTCTCCAATTGGACTTTTTAAGGAAATATAATTTTTCCTTAGACTTCAATAAACAATAAGCTTTTCTCAGCATCTGAGGAAGTGACGATCCATCTTCAAAAGGGATCATCGCTTGGAAACGCCGATGTCTCATGTGAAAGACCCTACTCACTAAGCTGCCAAAATCATATTAGGGTCAGAGAGAACCACCAGACTACCGGCTATTCTCCATCTCAGATGCTCTTCGGTTGAGACCTTTGTCTGCCTTCTGATCCTTTGTTTGGTCGCCCT